GTGTCATGTGATTCTTGTTTGGATGCGTGTATGAGATTCTTGTTTGATGCAGTGTGTCATGTATGAGCATTCTTGTTTGATGCAGTGTGGTTTGTATGTATGAGAATTCTTGTGATGTCATGTATGAGATTCTTGTTGATGCAGTGTGTCATGTATGAGATTGATGCAGTGTTCATGTATGAGATTCTTGTTGATGCACATTGTGTCATGTATGAGATTCTTGTTTGATGCAGTGTGTCATGTATGAGATTCTTGTTTGATGCAGTGTGTCATGTATGAGATTCTTGTTTGATGCAGTGTGTCATGTATGAGATTCTTGTTTGATGCAGTGTGTCATGTATGAGATTCTTGTTTGATGCAGTGTGTCATGTATGAGATTCTTGTTTGATGCAGTGTGTCATGTATGAGATTCTTGTTTGATGCAGTGTGTCATGTATGAGATTCTTGTTTGATGCAGTGTGTCATGTATGAGATTCTTGTTTGATGCAGTGTGTGATAATTCTTGTCATGTATGAGATTCTTGTTGATGCAGTGTGGTCATGTATGAGAGATTCTTGTTTGATGGGGAGGAGGAGGGGGGGGGGGGGGGGAGGGGGGAGGGGGGGGGGCAGTGAGTTCTTGTTGTGCATGTATGAGATTCTTGTTGATGCATGCATGTAGATTCTTGTTTGATGTCAGTGTGTATGTAGATTCTTGTTTGATGCAGTGTGTCATGTATGAGATTCTTGTTGATGCAGTGTGTCATGTATGAGATTCTTGTTTGATGCAGTGTGTCATGTATGAGATTCTTGTTGCAGTGTCATGTATGGAGATTCTTGTGTGTCATGTATGAGATTCTTCTTGTTGATGCAGTGTGTCATGTATGAGATTCTTGTTTGCATGTCATGTATGAGATCTTGTTTGATGCAGTGTGTATGTGAGATTCTTGTTTGATGCAGTGTGTCATGTATGAGATTCTTGTTTGATGCAGTGTGTCATGTATGATGATTCTTGATTCTTGTTGATGCAGTGTGTCATGTATGAGATTCTTGTTTGATGCATGCAGTGTGTCATGTATGAGATTCTTGTTTGATGCAGTGTGTCATGTATGAGATTCTTGTTTGATGCAGTGAGTGTGTCATGTATGAGATTCTTGTTTGATGCAGTGTGTCATGTATGAGATTCTTGTTTGATGCAGTGTGTCATGTATGAGATTCTTGTTTGATGCAGTGATTCGTGTCTTGTTTGTATGAGATTCTTGTGATGCAAGTGTCATGTATGAGATTCTTGTTTGATGTATGAGATTCTTGTTTGATTCAGTGTCATGTATGAGATTCTGTGATGCAGTGTGTCATGTATGAGATTCTTGTTTGATGCAGTGTGATCATGTATGAGATTCTTGTTTGATGCATGTATGAGATTCTTGTGATCATGTATGAGATTCAGTGTTCATGTTGAGATTCTTGTTGATGCAGTGTGTCATGTATGAGATTCTTGATGCAGTGATATCATTCTGTTTGATGCAGTGTCATGTATGAGATTCTTGTTTGATGCAGTGTGTCATGTATGAGATTCTTGTTGATGCAGTGTGTGTCATGTATGAGATTCTTGTTTGATGCAGTGTGTCATGTATGAGATTCTTGTTGATGTGTCATGTATGAGAGTGTGTGTCATGTATGAGATTCTTGTTTGATGCAGTGTATGTCATGTATGAGATTCTTGTTGATGCAGTGTGTCATGTATGAGATTCTTGTTGATGCAGTTATCATGTATTGATGCAGTGTGTCATGTATGAGATTCTTGTTTGATGCAGTGTGTCATGTATGTATGAGATTCTTGTTGATGCAGTGTGTCATGTATGTATGAGATTCTTGTTTGATGCAGTGTGTCATGTATGTATGTTGATGAGATTCATGTGTTGATTCAGTGTGCAGTCATGTATGAGATTCTTGTTGATGCAGTGTGTCATGTATTGTTATGCAGATGTCATGTATAGAGATTCTTGATGCTTGTGTGATCATGTATGTATGAGATTCTTGTTTGATGCAGTGTGTCATGTATGAGATTCTTGTTCATGCAGTGTGTCATGTATGTATGAGATTCTTGTTCATGCAGTGTGTCATGTATGTATGAGATTCTTGTTTGATGCAGTGTGTCATGTATGAGATTCTTGTTGATGCAGTGTGTCATGTATGAGATTCTTGTTGATGCAGTGTATCATGTATGTATGAGATTCTTGTTTGATGCAGTGTTTATGTATGAGAGTCTGTTGATGCAGTGTGTCATGTATGAGATTCTTGTTTGATGCAGTGTGTCATGTATGAGATTCTTGTTTGATGCAGTATGTAGTATGTATGTTTGATGATTCATGATGAAGATTTGTTTGATGCAGTGTGTCATGTATGAGATTCTTGTTTGATGCAGTGTGTCATGTATGAGATTCTTGTTGATGCAGTGTGTCATGTATGAGATTCTTGTTTGATGCAGTGTGTCATGTATGAGATTCTTGTTTGATGCAGTGTGTCATGTATGAGATTCTTGTTGATGCAGTGTGCATGTAGTGTTTGATGCAGTGTGTCATGTAGATTCCTTGTTTGATGCAGGTATGAGTGTGTCATGTATGAGATTCTTGTTTGATGCAGATGTGTGTCATGTATGAGATTCTTGTTTGATGCAGTGTGTCATGTATGAGATTCTTGTTGCAGTGTGCAGTTCTTGTTGTCATGTATGAGATTCTTGTTTGATGCAGTGTGTCATGTATGAGATTCTTGTTTGATGCAGTGTGTCATGTATGAGATTCTTGTTGATGCAGTGTATCATGTATGAGATTCTTGTTGATGCAGTGTGTCATGTATGAGATTCTTGTTGATGCAGTGTGTCATGTATGAGATTCTTGTTGATGCAGTGTATCATGTATGAGATTCTTGTTTGATGCAGTGTGTCATGTATGAGATTCTTGTTCATGCAGTGTGACATGTATGAGATTCTTGTTTGATGCAGTGTGTCATGTATGAGAATTTTGTTGATGCAGTATGTTATGTATGAGATTCTTGTTGCTTTTTTTCTTACTGTCCACCCACCATAAACTCTGACCAACAGTCTGCACACAAATAACAAATAAGCCAGATCCTCAAAATAGATGAGCTGAAGTCCTGGAACAAGACCAGAGTCCAGAAGTGGACAAACAACCAGGACTTTCCACTGGAGTTTACAGCTAGTGAGTGCGAGAAGAAGAAGGAATTTCAGCTTTCAAGACATGTTAATAAACTGTTTTCTTCAGATCTTGTAAAATGTCAGTGTTTATCCTTCTTCTTGATTTTGACCTTTCATCAACAAATACTTTCTTGTAACATTTAATGAGCTTTGTCTCGTTTTCAGGACTCTGACAGTTTTGTCCCAGAAAACTTGTCTGATATCACATTTGCACCCAGAGACGTGTGCCCTATCTCCCTGGAGGCCAAAGACAATGTCCATGGGCTGGGTTATCGAGGGCTGGACCCAAGTCTAGCTCTGCCCAGCTCACACATCAACCTGTTTGACACTGCCCCGCTCCGTCCACGTAAAGGTGGGAAGGGCATTCAAGGACAGGTATGTAGAATGGGATGAGTAAAGGGTTCGGAGTTTTGTAATTAGTTTAAAATATAAAAACATTCTGTCTGTCTGTCTCTCTCTCTCTCTCTCTCTCTCTCTCTCTCTCTCTGTTACTGTGTATCTGTCCTCTCTCTTTCCATATAGATAGATAGGCAGACAGACAGATAGATAGATGGATACTCTTTTTTGTACATCCTTTATATCTGTCTCACTCTTCTATCTATCTCTTTATCTGTTTTATCTCTCTGCCTATCTTTTTCATTTTCTCTCTTGTCTTATTGTCGTCCATGGTATAGAGTTTGTTTACTGTACTTTTTATATGTCCCTCTTTTTAAAAAAAATGTTTGCTATATTGTGTTTTAAAGCTAGACTCTCCCTGTGGGGGTTTCAGGTCCTATTGTAGGGAAAACAAGAACAGACCCACTGCCTGCCCAGAAGCATGTCGTAAGAGTCGACTAAATGGGAGCTTCCCTTCAAAGTCGGAGTTCATCTGCCTAGAGGCAAGGAACCAACAGTCTGCATGCAGTTGAGTCAGACCTGTGAAATGTATGTGCACACAACACTCAGTTTCTGGAACAGGACAAGAGTCCAGCAGTGGACGAACAACCAGAACTTTCTGCCTGGAGTTTAATGCCGGTAAACACGAAAAAGAAGAAGAAGATCAGACTGCTCTGATTCTCCTTAAAGGGTCTGTAGAAAAAAACTGGAGCATGACCAGTAGTTCTCCTTGTGTTGTGAAATCAGTACAGTGGGGACTGATGAACTCAGTAACAAAGCAGGAATCAGTTACCATAAATTGCAGCATAAAATTTGACCTGGGTAAAATTTCACGTCAAGATCTTTAGCTCAAAATTATGATTTGGACCTTTACCTACCTAACACATTTTATGCCAGGCATATAAGTTGACCCATCATTTTGAAAAGATTTTCGAAGGCTTGAAAACTTGGCTTATACGCCGCAGTTTACAGTATCCTTTCCCTTGTCTTATCTCACATGTCTGACCTTTGACCTTGTCTTATCTCACAGGTCAGACCTTGTTTTCCCTCACAGATCTGACCTTGTCTTATTTCACAGGTCAGATCTTGTTTTCCCTCACAGATCTGACCTTGTCTTATCTCACAGGTCAGATCTTGTTTTCCCTCACAGATCTGACCTTGTCTTATCTCACAGGTCAGATCTTGTTTTCCCTCACAGATCTGACCTTGTCTTATCTCACAGGTCTGACCTTTGACCTTGTCTTATCTCACAGGTCAGATCTTGTTTCCCTCATTGATCTGACCTTGTCTTATCTCACAGGTCTGACCTTTGACCTTGTCTTATCTCACAGGTCAGACCTTGTTTTCCCTCACAGATCTGACCTTGTCTTATCTCACAATTTCACTTTGTCTTTTCTCAGAAGTCTGTTCTTCTCTTCTGTCATAAGTCTGATCTCTTATCTGACATGGCTGACCTCTTATGTCATGTCTGACATGTCTCACTTCTGTCATGTTTCTGACCTTCTGTATTCTCCTTTCTAATGTGACTTCTCTTTTCCTTACAGGTCTCTCCTCTTCTCTTTCTCTGACCTTCTCTTTTCACATGCTTTCTTTAATCATCACTTACACACCTGGCTTTCCTTGCCTTGCAGACCTTCTCTTCTATCACAAACCTAACCTTTCTTCTTTCAGGCCTTTGGTGTGGGAGCGTTTGAAGACGAAGATGAAGATATCTATGCAATGGACAACATGTCTAATTACGACATCACCATGAAACCTGACAATGATGATGAGGCTGACAGCAAGTTTGGTTGGACAGCACCAAGGAAACATGGTGAGACTAGGTTTGAACTCTGTGATTTCTACATTCATGTGTCATTGATTGGTGAAGAGATAGCAACCTAGCCGCAAAGTGTTCAGTCAACATGCCAGAATTCTTCTTCTTCTTCTTCGTTCACTGGCTGTGAATTCCGGCGGAAGGTCCCGGTTAATCGTCCGCTTGGACTTTTGGCTTTTACTTTTACCTGGACCTAAGTTTTGCGTGTACAACCGTTTTGCTGTTCCCTGCCTCACGAGCAGATGTACTCCGACTTTGAGGGAAGACATCAGGCTTATTTCTAGGATGACTGTGGCCATTGTTTTGTGTGGGTTGCCTGATTTGTGTTGTGTCCTCTTTGTCGCCTTCTCCGCAGGTATTTCCCCCGGAGTACCCCTTTGGGGCAACCCTTTGTGGAACGGTTGGCCCTTAAGGGAAGGCAGGGGCAGATCATGGGCATTCCCAGCCATCTAAGGAGGCTTCCATGTATGCAGAGCCGGCACATGTCGCTCTGGTTCTGGGCTCACCCAAGGAATCGTCACGTCCTGCATTTGCCTGCTTAACCTCACAACCGTATTAGGCCTCTCGCTCGACAAGAGCTGCGCCCTCCGGAAGTAAGTGGGGAGCAGCCCGCGGTTCTGGACTTTTGTGACCACACGAATAGGTACATTCTTTTTTCTTCGCATGTTGGATATCTCGGGCGAGTGGGGTCTTTGGGTGTGGACATTTGGACTTTTTCCGGTTCAATACGATTTGTGATGGTCAGATTTTGAGCTTACTCGTGTGCCGTAGGATCTAGTTTTGTCGGACATTTAGGCTTAGCCAGCCAATGGGCTGTTGCTATTGTGGTGTACCTCAGCGCGGTGACGACGACACTGAGGGTTAACAGAGGATGTACATGGGTAGAAGCTTGGTGCGAGACGCCACCCACAGGAGATGTTACTCGTCTGTGCTGCGGGTAAATCTCTAGGTCAAGGGTTGAGTCTCAGCAGAACAATGTTCTCTTCACTCTGCAATCTTTTAATCAAGGGTTGTAATTTTAGATGTGCGTTTGGCAAGCACTTTACTCATGTTCTAATAAGTTTTGATAATCCTTTTCACCCATGCGTTTGGGGGCGGGCTGATGAGAGCCACAAGAACACATCACCTCTGGGGGCTGCCAAACTCTGAGATCCCCTGACAACTCTGTTTTGCTCATTTGAAACATTATCCATGGCGCACGACGAGGACGTGCTGCAGGGGTCTTGCGTGAGGTTCCATAAAACCAGAACAGTGAAGGACTGGCGCCCGAGTGACGTACGGAGTATCTCCTTATACACATCATGTTGGGCTTAACTTTCCCTCCCACCTGTGACATAAATCACCGCGCCACATGCCAGAATAAAATACAAGGCTGTGTGGTAGAAGATGATAGGCTATCCATGTTTCAGGGTAAAGGAGGAAAGATTCAACAAGATTAAGATACCTCTACACTCTAGGTAGAGAAGTAAAAAAACAAAATAACATTTCCTGATTAGAGAGTACACTTTAAGATACAAGGTCTTAAGATGCCTCAGAACTCTTGATAAGTCAGCTCAAAAGCTGATGAAATGCACCCTAGAAAAATACCATATAACATTGAAAAACTCTAGAAAATACCATATAACATTGAAAAACTCTAGAAAAATACCATATAACATTGAAAAACTCTAGAAAAATACCATATAACATTGAAAAACTCTAGAAAAATACCATATAACATTGAAAAACTCTAGAAAAATACCATATAATATTTAAAAAACTCTAGAAAAATACCATATAACATTGAAAAACGCTAGAAAAATACCATATAACATTGAAAAACTCTAGAAAATTATCAAACTACATTGATATGACATTCTTCACAGGAAACATCCTTAATCCAATTAGATAGCCTTTTACAACATTGTTGTATGGGGGGGGGGGGGGGGGGGGGGACAATTATTTTGTTCTTTTCCACCCGAAATGGGGCTCCGGAACACTCATGTGGAGATGTTAGACATATTTTTAAAATACCTTTATTCAATTTTATTGCGACCCTAGGTTACATAAGTTGAAAGTGTGAGGCTACATTTAACTTGAAACTTCAAGTTCGTATCTTGTTAACTCTTTTGAGTCCCAAGAAACGCGTCACACGTTCATAGGTTCCTACCTAGAAGCCCAATGAACGCATGATGTGCCGATTTATTACTTTCTTTACTATCTCCTGGGCCTGTGATGCTAAACTACCTTGGGACTCAAAGAGTTAATTTTAGTATGAAGTACAAGGTAATTGTCATGAACAGTTAATGGTAAGATGGACTGAGACAGACTGGTTTTAATTCCTTGACAGTCTGGAAAACTGTCATTGTATCTTCTTCTTCTTCTTCGCGATCACTGGCTAAAAACTCCAGCTGAAAGTTCTGGTTGTTCTTCCATTTCTTGTTCCAGAACTTGAGTTTTGCATGCACAACAGTTTTACAGATCTAGCTTTTTTGTGTGCAGACTAGGTTCCTTGTCTGTCAGACAGATGCACTCAGACTTCAAAGGGAACAACTCTAATTAGTTGCCTTTTAGGACATGCTTAGTGGGGGTGGTGCAGTTTTTAATTGTTTCCCCCAAAACAGTGCATGGAAACAACATGGGGAACCAACCATCAGTATATAAATTGGGGCCCAAAACAGTGCATGGAAACAACATGGGGAACCATCAGTATATAAATTGGGGCCCAAAACAGTGCATGGAAACAACATGGGGACGATCAGTATATAAATTGTGTATTCTATTAAAGCATGTTGATCCAGTTGACAAGACACTTGATTATGTACGTATTTCATGCATGCAGAAGTTCGTATGTTTTCTTGCATGAAATCAAAAAGAGACAATTTGTGAAATGTGTGTGGCCCCTGATATTTTGTCTACTTTTGCAGGCGCTAGAAATGTATTTTTGCTTTGTGTTGCAGGCAAGCAGGTTGTACCCGTGTCTTACGTTGGAAAACTGTTGGAAGGATTCACCCTCTCCTCGCAACCGCTGGTAGCAAAAAAGGTGAATATATTTTTATGGAGTGGATGACCTTGGATTTCTACACACCCGTCAGTATCTGACTGTGGCTATCTATGCCAGCTCGTATGTCGCCTTGTCTTTTTTCGATCAGTACCCCTTTGTATTGGCGTCTGTGGCTTAGGCGTTGCAAATGCGCTTCGTAATGCCAGGATGCCAGGTTTGATCCCAGCTGCGGGCCCGGCACCTTATGTTTGTTTCGACAGTGGTATCGAGAAGCCGACAGTCCTGAAATTAATGGCAAATTACTGGACATACATGTGCCTAGAAAAACCACAACAGCCACAAAATGCTGGGGTTGGTTCTGCAACATCCTGTAAAGGATCCGCAACTTAAAAAACCTTTGTATCTGACTTTTACTGTTGTTATATGCCTTTAGCATCTGTACTTCTCTCTATTATATTGTTCTTATATATTTTCTTGATATATATATCTGTATGTCTGTGTATATATATATATGTAAGTCATGGTGGCTTGAAATAAGATGGTGATAGAGTGTGCAGTTTGTCAAAGGTGAGGCAGGAGTCGACCACCGCAAAGATGGATACAAGACACTGAAGATGCATTGGCATTGAAAGAGCATGGGGCTGGAGAGGTGGCTAGGAAAAGGGATACTTTCAGGCGTGAAGTGAAGAGAGCGACATTCTGTAAAGGACTTGCTGATTAAAGGGTCTGTAGAAAAAGGCGGGACCATGCCCAGGAGTTCCCCGTGTGCTATGAAATCAGTACAGTATATAGATGAGCTCATTAACAAAGCTGATAATGTGTATATGTATATATATATATATGTATGCATGTTTGTATGTATTGTAAATTCACTATATCTGAATTGAAATTGCACACAAATGTTCATACTGATGTCATGTACAGTTTAATTCTTTTTGTTTGCCCTAGTTTACTTCTTCTTCCTTTTTTGTGTGTGTCCATCTGCTGATGCCATTAGGCACTGTAAAGAGGAGTTATATGTATGTAGTTTCCTGAATTTTGCTGGTTGCGTAAATTGTGTTAATGTTATATTATATCATATTTCTTTGGTGCCTCTTTTACTGCATCCATCTTTATCTCTCTTGGTTGGCCTCATGACTTGAAGCCTGCTGTTCTCATGTGGTACGCTCTAGCAGCTGGCTGATTTTGTTCCATTATGACCAGAGGACCAAACCATTTGATTCTTTGATTTTCTATGAAATAACTTACTAGTAATGTGCCTGCCATAGTTCTTAGTTTTTTGTTGGTGACTCTGTTCTTATTTTTCCCACTGCATTTCTCATACATCTCATCTCACCTGTTGTCATGTACACTTTATAGTTGCTCATCAAATTTGATTTCTTGTCCTCTCCCCCTTCAGAAATTCCCACCTCCAGTTCTGCCTCCAAGGTTCAAACCCCAACACTGGTTCCGCAGGAGAAGAGAGGTCAGCCACCTGCCAGCGAGCTTGATCACGGATGATCAGGGAGCCGGCCAGAGAAACATTACTGCTGTAGACCGAGGACTGATGCTGGGAGAGACTCCCATTGTTGGTTAGTTTAGTTTTCTTCTTGCAACAGATTTCATTTGTTAGTTTTCTTCTTGCAACAGATTTCATTTGTTACGTTTTCTTCTTGCAACAGATTTCATTTGTTAGTTTTTTTCTTGCAACAGATTTCATTTGTTAGTTTTCTTCTTGCAACAGATTTCATTTGTTAGTTTTTTTCTTGCAACAGATTTCATTTGTTAGTTTTCTTCTTGCAACAGATTTCATTTGTTAGTTTTCTTCTTGCAACAGATTTCATTTGTTAGTTTTTTTCGGTGTTATAATGGATGTCATTAGTTCTTTTAATTGTTATGATTATTATTCTTATTCTCACCACAAGGTTTTATTAGTTAGTTTTATTTTCTTCTTACACAAGATTTTATTGGTCAGTTCTTCTTATGGCAGATATCATCAGTTAGTTTTGTTTTGTTTGTTCTTCTTGATGCAGATTTCCTTGGCTTATTTTTATCATCAGTTAGTTTTGTTTTGTTTGTTCTTCTTGATGCAGATTTCCTTGGCTTATTTTTATCATTAGTTAGTTTTGTTTTGTTTGTTCTTCTTGATGCAGATTTCCTTGGCTTATTTTTATCATTAGTTAGTTTTGTTTTGTCTGTTCTTCTTGATGCAGATTTCCTTGGCTTATTTTTATCATTAGTTAGTTTTGTTTTTGTCTGTTCTTCTTGATGCAGATTTCCTTGGCTTATTTTTTATCATTAGTTAGTTTTGTTTTGTCTGTTCTTCTTGATGCAGATTTCCTTGGCTTATTTTTATCATTAGTTAGTTTTGTTTTGTCTGTTCTTCTTGATGCAGATTTCCTTGGCTTATTTTTATCATTAGTTAGTTTTGTTTTGTCTGTTCTTCTTGATGCAGATTTCCTTGGCTTATTTTTATCATTAGTTAGTTTTGTTTTGTCTGTTCTTCTTGATGCAGATTTCCTTGGCTTATTTTTATCATTAGTTAGTTTTTGTTTTGTCTGTTCTTCTTGATGCAGATTTCCTTGGCTTATTTTTATCATTAGTTAGTTTTGTTTTGTCTGTTCTTCTTGATGCAGATTTCCTTGGCTTATTTTTATCATTAGTTAGTTTTGTTTTGTCTGTTCTTCTTGATGCAGATTTCCTTGGCTTATTTTTATCATTAGTTAGTTTTGTTTTGTCTGTTCTTCTTGATGCAGATTTCCTTGGCTTATTTTTATCATTAGTTAGTTTTGTTTTGTTTGTTCTTCTTGATGCAGATTTCCTTGGCTTATTTTTATCATTAGTTAGTTTTGTTTTGTCTGTTCTTCTTGATGCAGATTTCCTTGGCTTATTTTTATCATTAGTTAGTTTTGTTTTGTCTGTTCTTCTTGATGCAGATTTCCTTGGCTTATTTTTATCATTAGTTAGTTTTTGTTTTGTCTGTTCTTCTTGATGCAGATTTCCTTGGCTTATTTTTATCATTAGTTAGTTTTTGTTTTGTCTGTTCTTCTTGATGCAGATTTCCTTGGCTTATTTTTATCATTAGTTAGTTTTGTTTTGTCTGTTCTTCTTGATGCAGATTTCCTTGGCTTATTTTTATCATTAGTTAGTTTTGTTTTGTTTGTTCTTCTTGATGCAGATTTCCTTGGCTTATTTTTATTTTGTTGTTCTTAAATCTGATATAGATTTGTTTTGGTGTTCAGTTGTGATTTGATTAGATCAGTCCTTAACTCTTTGAGTCCCAGGGGGTTTTGCATAACAGGCCCAGGGGGTAGTAAATAGAGTCATAAAATCGGCGCGTCATGCGTTCATTGGGCTTCTAAGTAGGAACCTATGAATGTATGATGCGTTCCTTGGGACTCAAAGAGTTAAGAATGAAAATAGGTGCTTTTGAGCTGAAATGCTATAGAAGATTCTCAGAATATCTTGGACAAAGAAGAGGAGAAATATTGACATCTTGAAAGGTCTGAATCTGAATATCAAGGAAGATTGGCAAATAATAATAGCATCTTGTCTTGGAAACGGAAATATTTTGGTCATATCAATTGCCATGACGGATTGGAAAAAGTAATAACAGAAGGAATGGTACCATGAAGGAGGGGCAGGATATAAGTGACTCCTTGAATATGAAAGTACACGAGGTGGGAGAGACTGAGTTTCTTTCAGACAGACCGTGATGAGAGCGATGTTCTGCACAGGACCTCTTCATGATGATGACGATGTTTTTTTTTAATGTGTCATTGCTCATTTGTTATCATTTCATATTTGTTGTCATATCACATTTGTTTGGTCATATTCATCATATCATATTTCTCAATCATATTGTTACATTTGATGGTATTAATTCCTCACTTGATGAAATGCAGTCATCATCTTCTTCTCTTGCTGCAGGCTCTGTGTTTGATCTCATCCCCAAAGAAGAGAAGGCAAGAATAGAAGCCACAAAAGAGGCTATCGCAATCACTCAGCACTTGGCCACCACGGCTGGCATGAATTTAACCAGGTACTAACTGTGTGGCCTTAAATCCCCAGTCTCACTACCAACTATCCAACACAGACAGTAAAGACAGTTAATAGAGTAACCAGAAAGTTTATCCTGTGGAACCCACGGTTCAAATTAGAGAGGGAGGTGGAAATAAGATTAAACCCAGGGGTGAAAAATATGGGGAGAGGGGGAGGTGGGAGGAGTTATTGTAGAGGTAGCAAAGTATCAGATGACTTGGAGTGTTGATAGAAGGCTGTACTCCATTGTTGGAATACATCTTCTTCTTCAGCGATCTCTGGTCACGCGCATAATCCACTGTGGGCCATAAACTGGGATGTCGTCTCAAAGTCTCTTAGGTTTCCCCAAAGCTTAGTTGTCAGTTCTACTGTGTGTTGCCATATGTTACTCCGCAGCTCCGCCAAGAGAGGACAGTCTTACAGGACATGTTCTGGAGTCTGTTCAGCACGAAGGCACTGGCAGAGAGCTGTTTGGCTCATACCTAATTTATATGAGTGTTGAATCTGCAGTGTCCATGTGTGAGCAAAAAACCGTGACTTGTTCTGTTCTGTTCAGGTGTTTGAGAAAATCTTTTTCATAGTTGTAACTAGTGTTCGTTGTCCAGTCTGTTTCTGATTTTCTCTTAATGAGAGTTTTGACTTCTGGAAAAGATAGTGGCTGGTAGGTCTGTGGTTTGTTACTGCCTTCCTTGGCTAAAGCATCAGCGCTTTCATTACTTTTGATGCCACAGTGAGATGGAATCCACTGCAGGTGAGTTTCTACCTTTTTTGACAACATAGCAAGTTCCTTTGTTAGACTTTGTAGTGTGCTGTCAATAGGTTTGGACTCAAGAGCCTGTACGGCTGACAGTGAGTCAGCGAGAAAAAAAACATCTTGCCTGCGGGGGTTTGCAGCTTGTTTATACACTGTGCTGCCATCAGTAGGGATGAGAGTTCTGCCTTGTAGTTAGAGCTGTTGGAATACAAGCCAGAAGAAGAAGACAAAAGTTTTAATAATTTCCTATTTTAGTTGCCTTTGCAGCCTGCTTGTGGGTCTGTTTCTTTTTTTTTTGTCCCAAAAATGAGGCCTCAGAACCCATATGTTGAATAGGTATTTTTAATATTATTATGGTGCTTATGGGGTGTCCCGAGTTTTGTGATTTTGATTCTTAATTCAAAAATTTTAATATTATATAAATTATTTTCAGAATACAATACCACCTTCAGACAGCTCAGGTGGTCTCTCAGATTTGGCTGGCATCACTAACACTTTCCTGGCCAAGTTCAAACCTGCTAGTGTAACCCATGTTGAACCCAGTGAGGGTGGAGGTGAAAAGTTGAAGGTCATGTCTGCTACAGCTCCACTGTTCCAAGGTAGTCTGAGCTTTCAGCCTTTCAGGAAAGATACAGCAAAACAAGCGAGATACGACACATACTTGGCAGCTTTGAAACAAGGTGTTAATGGTTAGTAAAAAAAAAATTTTTACTGTCTCCTTTGTCTTCTTCTTTCTCTTCAGGCAACAAGTTAAAACAGAACCACTGTTAACCTTCTTTTTCTGCTTCTTCTTATTTGCTTTCATCCGCTGTAAACTCTCACGGTAAATTCTGGTTGTTCCGCCACTTCTGGACTTTAGACCTATTCCAGACTTGAATTTTGTTGACATCCATTTTACAGTCAGGCTTATTTGTATGTAGACTATTGGTTCCTCGCCTCTCAAGCAGATGGGAAAAAAAGACCAGGTGGTTCAGAAATGTGTCAAGATTACCACAAGATAATGCACCACAGAGAGCCCCGTCACTTAGACACAACAGAAGCAGAACATGCACGCGATGGATAGATGGAATATCCAGGGTCATGAATACTAGCGTCTACATAGCGCCAGAAAGGCTCGCACTGGACGCCTCTTTAAAACCTGATGCTGAAAGGCACAGTAGGACTAGAGAACAAAAAGAAAAAAGTGTTCTTCTTGTGCCCCTTATCGTCCAGTGAAGTGTAGGTCTCCAGCCAAACTTGTCACAGACCTGTCTTGCTGTTGTTTGTTTTGTGGCTGATTCTTTTTATGTAATGTGATAGCTACCCTCAAGACCAACCCTACCTTTAGTCACTTCTTATGACTTGCTCACAGTCTGTGAAGCTGTAGTTAACATTATACTAGCCGCCTTTACTTTTAAGGACATTTCATGGTACTCATTTAAGTCTCGCTAAACTTGAAAGTCCAGATCACTTCAGGCAATCAAGTAATCGCAGTTGTAGCTTCATAGTTGCTCCATTCCTGTGCCAAAGAAAACCACACAGAATGCCTGTCACTGTCATTTGTAGAAAAAAAATGACACAGACAGCAGTCTCAGCATATACAGTAGCATTAAGGCAGCCATCAGAAGTGCTAACACAAACAGTCCACCGCTAGAAATGCTGCTTATCGTCAATAGAAGCAGCAGTTACAACAGATCCGTAGTTGCACACTTGATTAATCATTTAAGACACCACCAGTTTTGTGGCAACAGGACACTAGCCAATTTTACAACACACCACGTTAGGCACAGGCAAAAAGCATCTAAAAGTAATATGTAGCTCACAGTGTCATGCCATGCACTCAGTTCAGTAACTGGGTGACGAAACTATATCCTTTCAGTCTACATATGGAGGAAAATTCAACAGCCAACAATAATTGAAAGCAAAAACTTGCCGCAACTAAAAACAGTAAGTCTGCAGATCCTCTGGATTGACCAGAAGTATTCGTGGGTCACTTATACAAATCTGCCATAGTGTGCATTCAGAACCTCAGCCTTCAGGCAAGAATCTATGAGCTGCACCAATGCAGTTTTCTTTTGTGTTTTGTATGAACCATAATATATTAAATTGTTTACATTCTCTCGACCCTTCCCGATCAGTAATGTAGGGATGATCTCTACTCCAGTGTTCTGTTCTCTCTGACTAAACAAATCAGATTCGGCTTTTGAAAAATATTTTATTGTTTTGCAGATCCTTACTCAACCATTGGGAGCAGTCATCTGACGGAGTGGGAGAAAGCTCGAGAGAGAGATGAGTTTTCAAAAGCTTCCAAGATTTACCGACCCATGTCTGCTTTGATGTCATCGCGGTTTGTGCGAGGAGCTATGATTGATGAAGACAGAACTGAAGTGCCCCTGGACACAGAAGTAACTGATATTTCTCTCCCACGCACATGATAGTTTCACACCCACGCACATGATAGTTTCTCTCCCACACATATGTTAGTTTTTTCCACACATGATAGTTTCTCTCCCACACACATAACAGGTTTTCCCACACACATGATAGTTTCTCCCACATACATTATACTTTTTCCCCATGCAATGATAGTTTTTCTCCCACAACATGATAGTTTATCTCCCACACAAATGAAAGCTTATGTGCCCCACACACATTGTAGTTTTTCTCTCACACATGTATGTTGTCTTTGTATGTGTCTGTATATGTTTCAGGTTCCTGCCAATCTCTTTGTATGTGTCAGGTACGCTAGGACTGGTGTGGGTAGGAGAGCATTATGCTACCTTTACTTTCCATAGCATTTCCTGGTACCTGTTTCAGTCTGGGAGCCAAGCCAGTTATACAGATATGTCCTTTTATGGATTCACACCCAAGACCTTTAGGCCAGCAGTCCAGAATCTAGCCACTGGGGTATTTATTATCCTGTTGTACCATTATATGTCACAAATGGCTCCCAGTCTATTCCTCTTTATGCTGTGCAATCATTTTTGGATGTCTTCACTTCTTCAGCCCCTTCTTTCCTGTGTGGTGCTGGTTTCCTTTCAGGATGTGTTCAGTATAGCACTATCCTCGTTGTCTTTTACCTGTTGGTACCAGTGGCTACCCAGGTATTTCTTTAATTTTGTCATCTCTTGAATTTAACCCATTGTGTGTTCAGTATTTTCTACCAGAATTTGCTTTCAAAGGCATTTACCTTTTGTGGTTTAGTGGTTCTGCAACTTTCACTGGCTAATGTTAAAATTGAAAATGACATTAGAATTGAACATATGTAACTTGTTTTTAAAACAATGCAATTTAGAGTTCTGTATTTTGTTCAGGCTTTTAAATGCCGTTGTTGCCTTGCCAGTGTTTGTCATAATTTCTTTCTCTGTATTTCCTTGACTATCAAAATTACTGCCAAAATACTGTTACTGTAATTACTTTTGTCTCTACTGTTGCTGCTGTATTGCTGCTCCCATTTGTCATGTACCTGCCATTAATGTAACTCTGATTCTGACCCCATCATTTTCATCTGCAGAATGAGAAAAGTGATCGAGTAAAGGCTGCAGAGATGAAAATGTTTGGAAAATTGACCAGAGAAGAGTTTGAATGGCATCCCGACAAGTTGTTGTGCCGTCGTTTCAATGTGCCTAATCCTTATCCAGGGTAGGATAGTTTGCCTTGTTTTTAATACCCCTAGTAGTGATAAGTCAAAAAGAGAAGCAAGTAAAATCCAGCCAACCAAGATGAGGGAAGGCTCTTCAAATAGAAGAAGTATGACACGGTGTGGAGAAAGCCGTAAGGAGTCCGGATCGTTGACGTATCTCCTCTCAGCTAGGAAAACCTCCAGAATTGGCACCTGGAATGTTAGAACTCTCTATGATATAGGGAGATCAATGGAAGTAGCAAAGGAAATGAAACATTATAGTATTTTAGGGTTATATGAAACTAGATGACAGCATAACTAGAATGTCTTTGCATTGGAACCCACAGGGGCATAGGAATAAAGGAAGGCCAAAAAATACATGGAGAAGAGAGCTGGAGAATGAAGTTAGAAAGATTGGGAGGACATGGGGAGAGCTCCATGCAATGGCGAAGGATAGAACGACTTGGCGTGAGTTGGTTGAGGGCCTATGCTCCATTGGGGGATAGAAAGGCAGAAGAAGAAGAAGTGATTAAGATATGACTGGTTTCTAACACAGGTGATTCCATATGTGCGGTGGGGAGGAGGGGGGGGGGGAGCGATTTCAAGCTTATTGGGAAATAAGGCTAGAGATATATTTTATTGACCAATCGGCACTCGGTGGTTGATGTGGTCAACATCACGCTGGCCACCTTTACTTCCCAGGACTTGACCCATTACCCATTTAAAGCTGGGTAGACCTGGGAACCAAGATCATTTTTGAAAAAAAAGTCGGGACCTGAACTCACAACCTTCGGATTCACAGGTGAGTGTCTATCCACCACACCACAGCAGCTTCCTGGTTGTTGTTTTTTTTAGCCTGATGAAAATAAATTCTCTTATTGTTTCTTCGAGTGAGATTTCATGTACTGCCAGCTTACTGAGCATTTTCACAGTTTAAGAAAGTATTTAAGCAGATGGATCCTATCATACCTGGCAAACTAGAACCCTGTTGATCGGAAACCTCATGGCCTTAGTTTTTCCGGTGTGCACTGCTTGGAGGTGGAGCTTGGCCCAATGTGTTCTTGGAGTCATTGGCAAGTTACTAATTTTTGCTTTTCACCCTTCCAAGGAAGAGCTAGCCAACTCCGGCACTGCTGGCTTGTAGTGCTTGGGGCATGGACCTAAGCCATGCAAACATTGTACATTAAATTTCCAAGGCCATAAATGCCAGCATCTGCATAGCACATACCAAGTGATCAAGACCTGATGCTGAAAGGCAGAGCAGGACTACAGATAAAGAAGAAGAGAATGAATTATGGTAGAAATGTTGTTACAACACACTAACATTAAATTACTTTTTTGTGACTTAGCCAGAAGGATTTCCTTTCATAAACTGTGCTACGTTCTCTCTATATGGGTGAACTTGTAAGTAATAGAAAGCTGTATAAACTATTGCAAATGTTCTCTGCAAGCAGATCAGATCTTGTTGGGCTGCCAACAGTCAAGAGGGACAAGTATTCTGTGTTCAATTTCCTCAACTTTGGTGATTACCAGTCCGGAGAATTTCAAGAACCGACAACAGCAAACAAGAACAAGGAGGTTGGTGCTGGTCAGAAATAGTCCCATTCTTCTTCGATCCAACATTTTTAACATCAGACTTCATCATCTGTTTTCTTCTTCTTATAGTCCATACCATGTGGCATTAGTAATCATCTTCTTCTTCTTATAGTCCATACCATGTAGCATTAGTAATCATCTTCTTCTTCTTATAGTCCATACCATGTGGCATTAGAAATCATCTTCTTCTTCTTATAGTCCATACCATGTAGCATTAGTAATCATCTTCTTCTTCTTATAGTCCATACCATGTGGCATTAGTAATCATCTTCTTCTTCTTATAGTCCATACCATGTAGCATTAGTATTCATCTTCTTCTTCTTATAGTCCATACCATGTGGCATTAGTAATCATCTTCTTCTTCTTATAGTCCATACCATGTGGCATTAGTAATCATGTCTGTCCACAACCTTCTGTCTTGTTTACTTTCACTCAGTTCTGACACAGATGGTCTTCTATGCCATGATGTCACACTTTTCAGCATCCTCTCTCTGTCTCCCTCTGCCCCCCCCCCCCCCCAACTTTTCCACAGTCACGATGTACTCCAGTTTTCTCATGATATGATCAAAGAATGTAGAGACATATAACACATGGGTGGTTGGAGTCTGTCTCAGTTTAATATCGTCAGTACTGAACCAAAGTCGCTTAAGTGCATTTGGGACTATTTTCGCCTAAATGCATTTTCATGACTATTATTTGTCAATTTATAATACACGAAAGGCACACATGTGAATTTCCTACTCCATTTAGGTCAGAATGAATATTACTTTTCATGCAACTACACAATTTTCATTTGCTAAATCTTTTTCAAATGTCATTTTTCAAACCAAGGATTTATTACTTGGGTGCCTTTGGATTAGTGGCAGTGGGATGTCCAAAGTTGTTTAACATGTTATTAGCTTGTAGCACATCCAGCACTTTTTCCTACACAAAAGCTGCCAGTACTAACCCAGTGTCTAATAAAAGGTGCCCGTTTGAGTTGAGTTTTAAGAACCCCCATCATAGCATTTGGGACATTCCCATAAGCGCTCTGTCCCCCATCTTCAGCAGCCAACAAAGAGTTTCAACTCCAATGGTACCAAAAACAATCTGAGATTTAAGTCCATCTTACCTTCTCTCTTAGTGTGAAGTGTCAGCCAGATCCCCTAGCCACTCCACGTTGCACCATTATTTTTCTGACCCTGATAATCTGAGTGTGCACTGTTCACTCCCTCCTAAAGGTGCTGGTTCCGGAAAAGTATCAGTTACAATAGTGTTGAAAACAATGATGCCTAAAAAGGTTCCAGTACTGTGTACCTTCTAACACTGTATGTCTTTTGTCCTTAGAGCCAGACTCCAGGGAAAGAACGCTCAAATCTGTCCAGTCAAGGAGAGCCACGATGACGTCCATTTTTAAAGTATTGGATGACCCAGATTTTCATCAGCCTGTAAGAGACTTTCCTGTGTCCTCCCATCTCTCTACTTCCTTCCGTGATTGTCAATCAATACGTGTTGATTTATTTATTATACTGGGTTATATTTACGCTGGTCTCCCCATCTGCACACTGCTACACACTAGCTCACTTCTGATTGGATGACATACTGACCAGCTTACTTCTGATAGGTCGGCCTCGATCGATCTGACTTTCACACAAGGTCACGGAGATATTCCGCACTCATGCTCATACCGCATGTTGTATATTTCACCGTGCCAGAGCTTTTAAGACTTCTAAAACATTTAGATACTGTGTCTAACACACAACCACAACCCCTAGAAAGTGACAAAACCTATGTCACAGACCGTCTTTTTCTCGGAAATAAAAACGTAAATACCAGACAACAGACGACTATCCTCCGAATAACAGTCCCAAATTATCGAGGCTAAGAAAATACCCTAACAGGGCCTCAGTCATATGTAAATTGTGGACCTCTTGCCAGCGACTGTACTGCCACCATCGAGAGGATCCCCCACGGGCAAATAAAATGGAGGAAGCTGCAGTAGATGTGGTAGCTGCTGCTCGTGAGTCCTAGCCATTTAGTTTAGTTTCCCGCGCTGCGCGTAGAGGCACGGGGGATACTCATGGCGTTATGCGGTATAGTAGCCGGAAAGAGGTCTGCAATTTACATATGACTGAGACCCTATTAGCGTATTTTCTTAGCCTCGATAATTTGGGACCGTTATTCGGAGAATAGTGCAACAGACAGCGACTCCCATAACCTCGACCACGGTAGACTAGTCCAACCACCTTATCAATGGAGTTGACCTACAACTGGTGGGGAGACCAGAGTAAATTTTACCATTATACTGTAAAACAGTGGTTCCCAGGTGGTGGTCTGTAGACCCAGGGCGGCAGCAGATCACATTTAATGAACCATTGATGTCACTTTCACACACACTCACAGATCCCAAACCGTTTTTTTAATATATATTCTTCTTCTTCTTCTTCTTCTTGTTCACCGGCTGTGAATTCCGGCGGTAAGTCGCGGTTGTTCGTCCAAAATGGACTTTTGGCTTTTACCTTGACCTGAGTTTTGCGTGTACATCCGTTTTACTGGCTTATTTGTTTGCAGTTCTCGTTCCCCTCCTCTCCGGCAGATGTACTCCGACTTCGGAGGAATTTTTAATATATGACTATTAAGAAGTATTGAGTCCCTGGCAGACCTTTAACAGGTGTGCAGTAAAAGTTGAATAATTAGAGATGTTTACTTTGAAATGCATCTGCCTGAGAGGCAAGGAACCAACAGTCTGCATACAAATAAGCCAGAGCTGTAAACTGGATGTACAAGTAAAACTCAGGTTCTGGAACAAGACGTAGGTCCAGGAGTGGGCTAAAAAGCTGAACTTTCTGCCAGTGAATGTGAAGAAGAAGAAGATGATGCTGAACTATCAACTGTTGCTAGGATCAACTCTTTCATCTCCAACACAGTAATCAGCCCCATAACTTCTGCTTCAGCTCCGCACTGTCCAAGGTAGCTGACCACACTTGCAGCACAAATCTCCACAACCTTGTCAGTCTTGAAGGACATGAACCCAGCTGTCTGATTTAATGTTCTCAAAACTCAATACTGACTCTGGTAATCTCCCCATTAGCAACCTGGACATGTTTCAGTTATGTATTTTGTGTGTGTGTGTGAATGGGGAGTGTTTGTGGGGTGTTGGGGTGTGTCTCTCTCTCTCTCTTTTTCTTTCTTTCTTTCTTTCTTTCTTTCTTTCTTTCTTTCTTTCTTTCTTTCTTTCTTTCTTTCTTTCTTTCTTTCTTTCTTTCTTTCTTTCTTTCTTTCTTTCTTTCTTTCTTTCTTTCTTTCCTTTGTTTCTGGCATCCAGGTCTGACATTGATAACCTGATTGTGTGTATTCTTGTTTGTAATTGTGGATTTATGTAACATGCTAATGAAGGCTCTCTAATTGCAACATTCAGTTGCAAATGTGCCTGCATGTGTTTGTGTCTGTGCATGTGTGTATCTGTCTGTGTGTGCGTGTTTAAGCTTGTGTGTGAGTGTATGTATGTGGATGTGTGTATGTGGGTGTTTATGTATCTGAAAGTGAGCGAGTGGGCTTGCTTGTGAATGTGAGTGTGTTGTGCACATGCATTTTACCACCCACGCTTTTGTGTTTTCTTTCTTGATATTCATAATATGCATATTATTATATGAACAAAACATGTTTTATTGATAAAATACAACTGCTGCGTGATGGATGTTTGGAAGGGCGAATGTAAGACGGGTCTGCGTGCCCAATTTGTGACTTTTAAAAAAAAAAGTTTGTTCCTACATTCAATTTTTGTTTGTGTTACCGTGAAAATGACTGGTTGAATTTTTAATTTGGTTTGATATTTTTTCATAATATGATAGAATAAGGTTAACATGAAAATTCTTATTTTCGGTTGTCTTTTTACAGAACTTGTTTTCATTTTAAATATAAGATTGAAATATCATTTGTTTGTGTCCATTAGGCGGTAAAAGCAGCAGGAGAGAGTCAGGAGAAAGTACTTGATAATCAAGATAGCACACAGAACGACAAAAATAAAGAGGCTGATGACAATGGAACCTCACCCGATAAGGACTTGTTCCGTGCCATTTTCAAAAATTCAGATTCTGAAAGCTCTAGTGAAGAAAGTACGGATGAAAAGAAAGAGCAAGCATTTAAAGAAGGGGAAGAAAATACAAATGGTAAGTCATTTATCCAATTATTTATTTCTTCTAAATTGAGACTGCTAAATTTTGTGTGTATATGTGTAATTATTTATAAAAACTTGTGTACATTATTCTTTCTACACGTTTAGTAATGTATATGGTATTTCTGTTGTCTTATATTTTACAACACAACAGCCAGGGGCTGCTGGGGTTGGTTCTGCAACGTCCTGTAAAGGATACTCAGCTAACTTATATTTTACAAGCATCTGCTTAATAATATGCAAATATCTTGTCTGAATATGTAAATGTATCCCTTTAATGCTATGTCAGTTGCCCCACTTAGTGTCGTCTCTCCTTGAAGCTATGTTGATGTCTCTCTTTATATATCAACTGACACCAGAATTAAGACAACAAAACATTATTGTGACCAGTACGCAAAAGATTAGAATCATCACATCGTTACCAAAATAGTGCCAATAGTACCAAACTTGGATTTTTATCATAAACTCACATAAACTTGATACCTGTGAGATGAGATGACCTAAGGAAAGGCAGCAACACAGCCATCAGAGATGTTACTGTGAGACAGATTATCTATCTAAACATCCTGCAGCAAATCATTGCGAAACAGTTGATCAAATGATTTGGTCATCTTTTTTAGAATGCAGCTCATTATGTGTTTTCTCCTTGCAGCCAGGGGAGGGAATCCAAGCGTTGACCAGGCATCCAGATTTGCACAGGAGAACATTCCTTTACCCCCTTGGCGTGGCTTCAGCTCCGCCTGCTCGCACAGATCCTGAGGCTCTGACCGGGAGATCAGTGTCACAGGATGGAGACAGTTCTGTTTTCAGTGTTCTCGGTGACCTTAAACATGAACCTGATTGTGACTATCAACATAAAACAGGTATGTTACCAGTTTCAGTTAACTTTTTCCTCATCATTACTGTAGAATATCCTGTCATCTCCTTGTGAGATGCAATTTTTCTCTATTTTGAAGCCACACCCTGGCTCTTGCCAGGGGCCGCAATATAGCCCGACCATAAATATGGTCTAATGGCTGAACACGGTTTCTGGGACCTCTCCACGGGTGATCCTCATCCACATGGTGACACTCTGTGTCATCAGGTGTTTATCGCTTGTGTGATGTCCTAGTGGGGTAAAAGTCTACTATTACTACTACTACTACTGTAGAATAATAGGGCTAACAGACTGCAGTTGTTGTGTTGTACACATAGAATTGCAAATAACTGCAGAGAACTAAAAAACCACATACACAAAAGAGATAGATGGGAGTAGACCACAAGGCAGATGAAGAAGACAGTAGGGAGATAATATATACACGCAGATCTGTAAACATTTGTAGTTAACCACTAAAGAAAAAAAAGATGACCAGTCCTAGAGATGAATGGAGGCGGGTGATATCTGCAGCAGTTAACCTCAAGGGCTCGGAATGCTGAATAAAAGTAGTCACATTGCGGCATAGGTGGCACATGACTGCCTCATACATTGTGAGGTGTGTGTTCCATCCTCTGAAGCTTAGGGATTTTCCAAACACAATCCTGGTCTACACACCACACAGTGACCTCTAGGTCAAGCAATGTTTGTTCTGCAGCCTGAAAAACTTCCCCAATACACTGCACAAATGGTTAGCAAATCAGTTTCACTCTTTATCTGGTCTTGAGGCTTATCGGTTATATAATGCTGGCCCTGTTTTTTTTTTTTTTTAGATTTAATCAGATCCCATGGGCGATGTGGTCTCACATCTAGTGTCAAGTTGTCTGCCATGTTAATGTAATGTAATGTCATCACTGGGTATTAGACATTATCTCCCATGTTAAGTGTCATTTTATGTCCCTTGTTAACGGTGTTTTTTTTTTTTTCAACGTTAACATAGTGTTAGTTTATTACCCATGATAATAGTATCATCACCTGTCAAATTATCTCCCATGTGAACACCCCCCTGCCATCATTTATAAATGTTCTTATAACAGATGCTTTATTGTTATTGAAGATGATCATATACAGACAGAAAGCATATCGTCAAGACTGTTGCCGCTTGCTGATGAAGAGGATAGTGGCGGGGAATATGGACCTAGTTTGCCTCCAGCACCAGGTTCAACCATGGACTCGGTTTCGTCCGAACATAGATCAGGTATACACGTTTTCCCTACCACCTGACACAGATCTATCTTTACTTACTCGTCTGAGAACTGACTGACTAACTTTCTACCCCACTAGGACATCACACAACCGATACACAATGTGCCACCATGTGGATGAGGATCACATGGAGAGGTCCCAGAAACCGCGTTCAGCCATTAGGCCATATTTGTGGCCGGGCTATATTGCTGCCCCTGGCAAGAGCCAGAGTAGGGCTTCAAATAACAAAAAATGTCATCCTGAAAAGGACGGGAAGTATGATCTATATACTCATCTGAGAACACAAGTCTTCACGAAATCATCTCACTGAACTGGCTACTGCAGGTGGCACTTGTTTTTGGAATATCTTCTGCTGTTGCAAATGTGTGTAGAAGAATCAATCACACATATGGTGCTATGTATGGGAACAATCATACGTGCGGTGTTACAGAAGTGAGAGTCTTCATCTTTGTCATATTCACCAGCTGTAAACTCTGTCAGAAAGTTCTGGTGATTCATCCACTTCTGGACTTTAGTCTTGTTCCAGAACCTGAGTTTTTGTGTGCACATCCATTTTACAGAACTGGCTTATTTACATACAGACTGTTGGTTCCTTGTCTATGAGGCACATGCACTCTGACTTGTAAGGAAATATCCCGAATTAGTCTTCTTCTTATGACATGCTCGTTAGAGGAGCAGTGTGAGCTATTCTTTTTCCTCCACAGTGGGAGGCCAGGCTCCCAGAACCCACACGGGGAGTAAACCATGTGTCACCGGTTGCTTTAGATTTAAATTCAGGATTATTAGCAAGCAGAGTGACAGCTAGAAGGAGTACTAGAACAGGTGTACTAGAACAGGTGTACTGTCTGTCTAGTTAATGAATGGCTAGGATGCTATCCCATCTGACATTATGACTCCCCTTTTGTCTGTAAAATTTTTCTTCCTTGTTCTAATTTCTGCTTCATTTACGACACAGCAAAGACTTGGTTACAGCCTTAGACATGACTAAACAACTAGAGGGCACAGTACCAGGGGAAAGGGGTACAGCCTTAGACATGACTAAACAACTAGAAGGCACAGTACCAGGGAAAAGGGGTACAGCCTTAGACATGACTAAACAACTAGAAGGCACAGTACCAGGGGAAAAGGGGTACAGCCTTAGACATGACTAAACAACTAGAACTAGAGGGCACAGTACTAAACAACTAGAGGGCATAGGGGAAAGGGGTACAGCCTTAGACATGACTAAACAACTAGAAGGCACAGTACCAGGGAAAAGGGGGTAAACTAGAGGGCACAGCCTACAGCCTTAGACATGATGACTAGAACAACTAGGAAAGGCACAGTACCAGGTACCAAAAGGGGTACAGCCTTAGACATGACTACAACAATTAGGGGAGGGCACAGTATCAGGGGAAAGGGGTACAGCCTTAGACATGACTAAACAACTAGAGGGCATAACAACTAGAAGGCACAGTACCAGGGCACAGTACCAGGGAAAAGGGGTACAGCCTTAGACATGACTAAACAACTAGAGGGCACAGTACCAGGGGAAAGGGGTAGGCAGGGACCGCATTTGTAAATCAAACAAGCATGATTCTGAGAATGCAGTCAAATTATGTGAACTTAAAGAGATCGGCTTAAAACAAAGATGTGGAGTGGAACTGTCAGGACGCTTCTTGATGATCTACTGGACTCAAGCACATGATGATGATGATAGACATAAGTTTTGCTTTGATTTTCTTACATCTGTAAGTTTTACTTTTACACTGAGTACATTCAAAAGCAGTTTGAATTTTAATTAAATTTTTTTAAATTTTTATTTGTTACACTTAACTCAACAGAAATACAGAAAAATGATACAACAGAACCCTCCAAAGACAAGCGACATCGACATAAAAAAGAGAAAAGGGTAAGTAGAAACAAGAAAATGGCACCGAAAAGATAAAATACAAAATGTTCAGAAAATAATTAAAGAAATACAAATGGATTATTAGGAGATTGCCGGAAATATCCATTTTGTTTTTAAATTTATTTTAAAAACTATTGTACACAGTTCAGTGACAAAAGCCAAATTTGTCATTTTATTTTATGAAATATGTATAGGGGGTAAATCTGTGCACATGAACAGAATGAATTACTAAATCTGAAACATTCTCCTGGGGCTTAAAACACCATGTAGTGGCGTGACCCCATGTCTTCTATTGCGTAGGCTTAGTGGAGAAAACTGTGACATCCAGTAGACTTCAAAACAGCTTCTTGATTCACAAAAAGCACCTCTAAATGGTATTTTATAGCCAATATATTCATATCCTGACCTCTTAAACTTGTGCGCAAGTGCAAACAACCATGCATCTCCTAAACATGCCACCGTAGACAAGCAGGATAACCATGACAGCTTCTTGGGGTGGCAGCGTTGAAGACAAGGCAATTGAAGAAATCCACCTTTACTTCCCAGGAAGGACTTATCTAATACCCATTTGAGACTGGGTCGACGGGAGACAGTCCTTTTTTTTTTTGTTTTTTATTCTGGCTCTATCAGGTCTTGAACCCACGACCTTCGGATCTGCAGGTAAGCATCTCGCAGCTACATCATGGTGGCTCCCAGTATTGCTGTGGTCGGAGATTATTTATGACCATGCTGCGTAAGGCTTTCTTGCCTGGCTAGGTCACATCTGCGAATGGTGTTGAGGGAGTTTGTTTTGATACAAATGAATATTTTCTCCACAGAAGTCCAAGCACAAGAAAGAGAAAAAACACAAAAAGCATAAGAAGTCAAGCAAGTCCAAGAAATCTCGACAAGAAGAGAGCTGTTCTGGCAGTGAAGCCGACACTGAGGATTCACATGTATCAGACAGCGAGATATTGCGCAGGTAACAACATACTGTCCCAGCAGAGGTAGAACCATAACTTTGTGATCAGTTTGGTTGTTGGATGTTAACAGCGAATATGATAATTTACACCTTAATATATGACACAGTTTTTTTTTTTGGTAGAGCATTTTGAAGCCCACCCCAGCTATCATCTGGGACCGTAAAATGATTGAACAGGATTTCTGGGACTTGTGCCGGGGGAAGGGTTTTCATCCAAATAGTGGTACCGTGACGCCAGGAGTTTACCCCTCGATATGCTGTCCTGGTGAGGTTGAACATTACTGACTCGCCCAGTGACTATGATCTATGTTTATTGGAATAAATTATAATTCCACATTGGAACCAGTGTAATCTACTGATGTTTGGATGAAGACAGTGCTAGCTGGTCAGTTTGTATATTCTTAGTGTTGACCGGTTGTAAAGTGGCATAAAGTTTTGGGTGTTTGTTCATTTCTGACTTCGGTCTTGAATTTCGCGTACACATCTGGCTTATTTGTATGCAGGCTGTTGGTTCTTCACATCAGACAGAAGCACTCCAGCTGTGAAGGAAACAAAACTGATCAGACGCCTCTTACTTGTTAGGAGTCTGTGGTTCTATTCTTTGTTCACCAAAATGGAACCTAGAGACCCACATGGGGAGGTAGGTGTGTGTGAAACCCAGAGCTCTTTCACAGAGCAAAAGGCTATCAGTGAATGAGATAGTCAGTACTACCCTGGCTAACTTTACTCCCAAAGATGTCCTGATCTTGCGTTAGACATAGCAGTCTTCTTCTTCACTTTCTCCACATCAGATGCTGAGGGAGATATAAGGTTCTGCCTCTTGCAGTTCTGGCTGCAATGACCATAAACACACTGTGCTGTTGTAGTTTTTCTGATGTTATCTTTCCATCTTGTTCTTGGTATACCTCATGTTCTCTTTTAATGTATGCCTTGTATGGCACAAGGCATTCTCTCTAAGTTGGCAAACCAATTGATTTGCTGTCTTTGTATGTAATTTAGAATTAGTTCTTTTGCTCCCATAACCTCACTTCTGCAGCCCTTCTCAGACACCTCATTTCTGTGGTAACTCATTTTCTGTTATGATTTGTTATGTTTGACCATGTCTGGCACAGGTAGCAAAGAGTGGGAATGAATATGCTTTGTGTGAGATGTTTATTTGAGCAGATCAGGGTTTGTGTTATGCTTCCAGAGTGGGTGGCTTGCTGTTCCAATACTACCACAACCTTGCTCAGGTGAGGGCAGAGTGTTTCTATGCAAGATACAGAAATCTGGGTGCTTTACCAGTATGTCCCCCCAGGATGTTGCCACGGGACAGTCCAATATTTTTGGGGGTGGTAAGTGACAATAGTGAGAGAAAAATAATGCCTGCCTAATATGTTTGTTTTTTTAATTATCCCAGATTGAAGGAAGTCTCTGGGAGTTCGAAAAAGCTTCAGCTCTGGAAACAAATCTAAAGGAAATAAATGACTTGCAGCAGTTTTGTCTTGAGATGTGCATCCAATCAGATTTGTGCAATGTTATTGAGCAAAATTATTAATAAAGAACTGTTTAAATGATTGTCTGCTGCTAGATTTCCAAAATGTATATTAACATATTGACTGCATTTTTATCCAGTCTAGCACAAAACAATCTCCCGTAATGAACCCTGAAAATGCTGCACAAAATTTCTGTGTTTGAAAATTGAAACCCCAAATTTCAGTGTGCTTTTTTTTTTTAAAAGTTCCAGTGATGACATCAGGCATATCTATACTGATATTTGTATAGACGATTAGCACCAATGTTAAAACAATCTTTACTTTCCAAGATATTGCCTGGTACACTCATTTTAGGCTCGGTCGGCAGATGAGCCTCTAGCCATTGTGCTACAGCAGCTGCACACTCTTCAAGCCGAGACCCCATTTACCTGGCCGAACTCTTGACAGCATGACACAACACTATTAACTTCCTGTCAAAATAATTTAAACAGCACTTTGTGTGACAAGCAACAAACAGGCAGAAATTACATTTAAAGCAAAATAATAAGCAAAATAAAATGCTCAAATGTCACAACAAAATTACCTGCTCTAACTAAAATAATTCACAACCACATCAGAACCACTTTATGCATTTTATTTATTTGATTTTTCAAAAACACTGGATACATACGACACATAAACATGTCAGTGCAACAGTTTGTTAAAGAGAATTGCCAAAATGTTATGCCAGAAATATTTTGTCCATCACCCCATTATTTTTATTTATGATAAATTTGGTTACTCAAGAAATGTTGGTAGTCTAGGAATGACTTCATTACTGAGCTATTCAACTAGTTGCCGCACTGCTCACCCTACAATTTATTAGTCCACCTAATACACCACACAACAAACAGACAGACTGAGTCTACAGTGAAGTCTTTGAGGCAATCTGATATTGCTATGAACAAGCGTGTCAATTTGCTGAGCATGGTTATGTCCAATAAAAGATATTTCATTAACATATTTCAGTATTACAAATACTCAAATCAGTGGTGTTTCACTATCTCGCTTGTTTTAACTTAAATGCTGCCAACAATGTTAAAAATATTTACAATATGGATAACAAAATATGGAACTTATCACATCCAAAACTAAACAATGAATTTTATAATTTAATCAATTACACTGTATTACTTAACAGAAATCTAACATTACCAAATCTGTTCACAATGGTTAAGTCATAAGTGGGGTTTTTTCCCAGCTCTAAATTCTGAATAAATTTTGTAACCAACTATGAAGAAAACAATTCAATTAGTTCGTAAGTCAAGATCATTGGAGTCATGAAATGTATTAAACATTTTTTTGCGTGTCCATAGTTAATTAAGGGGAGGGACCCAGATGAAAATTGTAATCTGACCATTTTGGGTTCCCGTACATAATTCACAATTATTCTTAGTAGAAAACAGCTGTGCGAACGGGTTTTGAAAAAAAAAACATTTAAAAGCTTTATTTCTGCATTCTTTGAAGCATGTGTAGCTTATTTATCTATACTTTCATGCTCATTATGTGGGCAAAAACACAGAAATATTCTATATCACTTTGTAGTTGACCTTGAGACTTCAAGTTGCAGATTGTTCCGTTTCATGAGGCCCGTACAATTATTTCATGGGACACAGCATAAAAAAACAAATTTCATTGGTCCATCTATTAAGGGTATACTTTTCTCAGCCAATCAGTGCACTCGTCTCATTAAAAACTGTCAAGGCCGTTTTTTTTTCAAAATAACGTTTTTGTATATGCGCATTACCGTTGTCATGGTAATTTCAAAACTATTGGGCCAAATAAAATTATACAAATTATATCAAATCTTCAGTGGATTCTGTTAGTTTGAAACATGCCATTTTTATCGACCACACATGCTTATGGTCAACATGTAATTTGAGTTCAGATTTTATGAAAATGTTGGACCTCAATATGAGAAAATCTAACTTAGATACAGAACTGACGGAGGTTCGGATTACAGCTTAACTAAATCTCAGCACCTACACAAACTTTTAGCTGCATACGTCAAATACTTTTTTTTTAGCAGGATTGACATCGCTACTGCAACTAATTTACTCATCAACCAAAAATGTACCTTCATCAACCGGAAATAAGTACAAAATTTACATAATTTATGATTATTTTATTTAGCTTATTCCCTCCCCCTTAAAGCAATGTTTAATTAAATTTTCTTTTTAAACGTACCCTTTAAATCAACTTTTTGAAACATAAAAACTTCATTACAACAGCAGAACCTGCTACAATATAAACTTGAAAGTTTGTTATTAACATACAAATACACTTGCAGTCACAGACAATTGTTTCATTGTGTGTAATCACCAGCTATGTCGAAACAATGAAACTGTCAACATTTAACACAGGACCAGAAAAAAAAGTGATTCTAATGAAGTCACAGACAATTGTTTCATTGTGTGTAATCACCAGCTATGTCAGAATGAAACAATGAAACTGTCAAACATTTAACACAGGACCAGAAAAAAAAGTGATTCTAATGAAGTCACAGACAATTGTTTCATTGTGTGTAATCACCAGCTATGTCGAAACAATGAAACTGTCAACATTTAACACAGGACCAGAAAAAAATGTGATTCTAATGAAGTCACAGACAATTGTTTCATTGTGTGTAATCACCAGCTATGTCGAAACAATGAAACTGTCAACATTTAACACAGGACCAGAAAAAAATGTGATTCTAATGAAGTCACAGACAATTGTTTCATTGTGTGTAATCACCAGCTATGTCGAAACAATGAAACTGTCAACATTTAACACAGGACCAGAAAAAAAAGTGATTCTAATGAAGTCACAGACAATTGTTTCATTGTGTGTAATCACCAGCTATGTCGAAACAATGAAACTGTCAACATTTAACACAGGACCAGAAAAAAAATGTGATTCTAATGAGAAAACAGACAATTGATAACTGAAAACATTACAATCCCCCATCATTAACGCCAGCTTGGGTCATCAAATCTGCGATGTTCTTTTCCAGATCGTCAATGCGTGAGCCCATGTCGTCAAGTGAAACTAGTTAAGGAATATTTTGTGCAGATTCCTTGTCTGGCTAAATCTTGTATATGCTGGGTGGACAGAACATCAGATTTATTCACTAAATGGGATTCTTTCATAAGTCAAAATTGTATATAATCGACATAATTTTTAAGTCAACTGTTCCTTTACCTCAGATACTTTCCAAGCAAAATTTTCATCTGACTTATATTTCTACATCAAATATTTATCTAACTGATATATTTTCTGCATCGAATATTTATCAGATATTTTCTACATCAAATATTTATTCAACTGAGTTATTTTTACATGAAATATTGAACTGGGATATCTATCTCTACATGGACAGGTTGAGCTCGGCATGCAGTAAATGCAGCATGCAGATCATTGCAAACAAAATGGAGGCAGTGCAAGTTAGTAGAACCCCTGCCCCACTACACATACAGCTGAATGGTTCTGCTCTGAATCAAGTTAGGGAGTTTAAATATCTAGGAAGTATGATCACAGAAGATGGTAGAATTGACAGAGAAATAGAAACTATCTGTCAGAAAGCAGGTGCACTTATATGTCAAAAGTCACCATTATTAAGACATCCAAGCATAACTATGAGTGCAAAGAGACATTATTAACAGCATATTCATTCCAACATTGAGCTACCAGTGCCACACATGGATACTATCTAAGGCCTATATGCGCAAAATCATCAACTGCGAGATGAGGTGCCTGAGAAAAGCAGCCAACCTAACCATCGGATACTGCATTAATAATGGAACTATCGGGCAGACTGTGGGAGCGACACCTTTTGCTGGATTAATCAAGAGACAGCGGATCAAGTGGTATGGCCATCTCGTCAAAATGCAGCACGATCAAATACCATCATAAGCACCGCATCTCAGAGGATCGGCTGCAGGAGCAAGAGAGCAGCTGTGGAAAATATGGATCGACAACATTGAAGACACTGCGCCTTGGTGGCATGACAATAGCCAGTGGCAGCCAACGTGCACTGGATCGCAAATTATTTCTCCCCCACGACACTCAACGCACAAGTGGTTTATGATGATGATATCTACATGAAATATTTCATCCGAGTTACCTTCTACATCAAATAAATGGCCTCAAATATCATCCCAACACATCAAATTTCAGCGACCCCTAACTGTTGCTGGAGAGGATCACTCCCCTCCCTACGTCCTTAAAGTCAACAAGGAAAAGCAAATACAGCAAAGATGCCATTTCCATTTTCAGGTATACTGAGCATATGGTGACAGTCCCAAGTCTTTAAAGACTAACTGGGCTCTGGGTGTGTGATAAGGTCAATATAATACCAGCCGCCTTTGCTTCACAGACTTGGGTTCCCAGGCCAATTTATTGATGGGGACTCAGAAGTATGACCACCAAGATTGCTGGCTACTGCCCCACCACAACTCCTGTGAGACTGAATACCCCGGGTTGACTATCAAGTGCCACAAATTGTACAACTCAAGAAAAATGTATTATCAAAGGATATTCCTGTTGATGATCTGACCGGACATGGCCTCAAATTTGTTCTGCATATCTTGAAGCAGTTGTTGCACCTGTTGGAGAAGTAAACACAGAACAGTTATTGTAATGACCAGTGTTCGCAGTGTTTAGTGGCTCTAACAAATGCAACTATTTTATCATGTGCTAGAGGGGTTAACCTAATGCCATCAGCCATTTTGCCTAAAGGGGTGGGGAGGGGGATCAGGAAGGGAATAACTACAGAAAGGATGAGAGCTGCGCATTTGAGAAGAAAAACACTAAATACATGCGACTGCAACAATGGTTCTGAAATCACATGTTCTGATTGGGGAAGACTTTTCTGAACATGGGCGGGTCTTGCTAGTCACACTCACCATCATCATGGGCTGCCAGTCCTATGCCTCTTTATGGCACAACACAACATAACCATATCCCCTGGAAAGACAAGACGGGTGGCAACAAGTGTAGTGCAGTCTATCGAGCATCCAGCATATAGGGCCACATCTTGTACATGTTATGGACCAGGCGGCACTTGATGGGTGATAAGGATCTACGCACACCTGCCAACATCACCTGGTACCCGTTTAAGGCACATTCTGAAACAAATCTTGTCTCTTTTTTTTTGCTTGTCACTTGTGTGCTCTGTCACTCTCTTGTAAAGCTGACCTTTCCAACTTGTCTTCATTTTTCTACTCACTGACCACCACAGACTACTTGGCCATCTATAATTCTCCCATGCAGGGAAACTGCCCTTGTGGGACTAAAGCTGAGAACCTTCGACACATCTGTTAAGACTTGCCAGCTTGCATAAATCTGTGTGGCCAGGATTTCTGCACTGCAGCAGAAGTCATGGGTGCTCTGTCACTGGGGAAGGGGATCAAAACTGACTGACTTCCTCCTGAAAACAAGTCCACAGATAAAAATAATATTGACCTAGATCAAACAACAGATCTGCAAAAACTCTTGGACATTTTGTTAACAGAGAGAGCAAAGCAAAGACTTGCTTTTAGAATTGAATATCAAAGAAAAGAAACAATGGTTAAAACAAAAAAATAGAGAAAATCACTAAATTGTGAGAATTGAATATAGAAAGACAATGGTTACAAAAAATACAGTATCCTAAATTGTGAGTCAATAAAAAAAAATTAAACTATTTGGGAGCAAAAACACAACATCTGATGGAAGAATATAGTCGGACTGGAAAAGCAAAAGCACAAATTTTTGAATAATTGTAGATGAAGACAAAAATGTGTTTCATGACGAGCCACTTTTAACTTTTACTGAATGTTTGAGGGTACTGCAGTGTTCTGTCATGAGATGTTTCTGTGTTCTAATTTAACTATTCTCATCTGTCTACAGAAGTTTACAACCCGGGACATAATATTATTTAAATATCTTCTGAATTATGAAGGTGATCAATTAAATCAATAGAATGAGTTCACTAATCGACCTTCCCAGCAACAACAGTAGCAGTCAAAGTCATCTTACTTTTAATAATAAAGTATCTTTGACATTTTTATGTGTGTGTGACAATAAATAGCAGTTTTCTTTTTTGTCATTTATAAACACCATTTTAAAATTAGGTAAAATGCAGTGTTCCAGAAACGAGAATGCCATTTTACATTTTTTTTAATGTCAATTCAAACTCACTTCATCGATTTTGATTTTTTTATTCTCCTCTTCAACTTCAACTTGAGCTAATAAACTATAATTATTATTATTTATTTATTATAATCATCAATTCTGAACTTTCACTTTCATTCAAAATAAGTTAGTGTGATCCCTTATTCAACTTATTGATTTCTTCTAGTCAGCTGACGGTTGCTAATCTCAACGAGATTCGTGTTACAGCACGTTGACCTTCCATTGTTTTATCACAGCAGCAACAGAAGAATAGAATGGTCAACAAAAACAGGACTGGACAAGTTTCAAGTTGTTAGTTGATTCGTCGCGAATCATTCAGAGTTCAGGTTTTGCTTTGTTGAACTTCATACAACAAAGTCATATATAATAATCCCATGTTATAAGTCTGCTGTTTTTCTTAAAGACGAGTATACAGAAACATCAATGAGCTATTTGTTTTAATAACTATACGAGTAATAGATGAACTTACAAGAGAAGCCAGATCTTGAACGTTCTTGGGATCGCTGCCAGACTTCTCTACGTCCGCCATCTTCAGGTTTCAGACAACAACAATGATGAGCATGCGCAGAACGTTACTTCTCAGTCAAGAGACGTACTGCCTTTTTATCGTTTCATATCTTTATAATTTTATACCTGATACTATTGTATTCTTCTTCTCCTGCTTCTTTGTTCACCAGCTGTAAGCTCCAGCAGAAAGTCCTGTTTGTTTGTCCCCTTGGACTTGAGTTTTGTACTAGCGCCTGCGTTTTGCGCGTAGATCCGTTTTACTAGCTTATTTGTGTGTAGTTGGTTGTTCCTTGCAGATACACTTTGACTTCAATGGAAGCCCCTCAATTAGTCGATCTTACGGCAAGCAGTAGGTCTGTTTTTGTTTTCCCCATACTTAGGACGCGAAACCCATACAGGGATTGTACTGTCTATGTCAGGGCTATTGAACTAGTGGCTGGCGGACGGAGTCCAGCCCGCAGAGGCTTAGCAAGTGGCCCACGGATCACTGCCAATAGCATTTTGTTAATGATCTTTCAATGCTGGAGATCGGTCAGTAACAGTCTGATTGTATATCTGCCTTTCCTGTGAGTGTCGAGCGTCTGCTAGATCTGCTGGTCACTTTTTGCTGCACTATTCGTCGTAGACGGCGATGATCTTTTTGTGCCTCCGCGCTGTTCACTCGCTTCCCAAAGGGCTTCAACAGCATATAGCTTGTCGTACATCAGTTTACCAACAAATGTTGCAGAACCAACCATACTACTGTCTGCTCGTTTCCCAGTACACCAGCATCAGCTGGAAAAAAATTATCCCGGACCTCTGGGGTGATGATTGTCATTCTGAATATAGAATATGTGTCTTCACCGTTCTTAGTATGCTCTGTGAGTCAGTTACAGCCATCTGTTTTGAGAGTGGAGGCAGTCACTGCTGCCTTCCTCTTGGCTCGACAACTAGCTTTACACTTCGGCTATATTAAACACTACAATGGTTTTGGAGAACCGTAGGCTAAAGGAGCGTATGGTGTAAATGGAGAGATGGGAGGGGTTGACAACAAAACAACGGACACGAAATTTCACAGGCACTCTGGGCATGAAAGTTTACTAGGCAGACAAGTCGGCAAGGCACCCAGTGGTTTTTTGAGCGTTTCCTGATAAAAGCATCGTTCTGTCAATGACCTGCAACATGATGCTAGGATGATGATGATAATGAAGATGATATTTAATGTTATGTGATCACAGTCAGGGTCACCGCGCATTAGGCATTTCCATGTGTGATCACTGCCGACTGTTCCTATGCGGAGCTGGTTATCATGTTAAATCTTGGCTTCGAATGCGGCATTAACGTGCTTTACCATGCTTTACTCCTGTCACATAATCGTGTCAGATATTCGTCAATATCCACTAATCCATCCCGTTCAGCGTTGATGAAATGTGCCCTGTCTATGCTTCTTTCCACACGTGCTTGTACACTGCGTCAGGTTGGGCGGCTCGTTCATTACACATACGATAATTACCATGATGATGATGATGGCAGCATGTTACGTTAGGGTAGTTCGCGATGTAACCGTTACAGGTACCCTAGTCACAACCCTTTACCAGGTTGAACAGGGGATTTAGGATTTGCCCTCTTGGAACCCATCCATAATATGCGTCTTTTCTGTAGAAAACAGCCATGACAGAATAAGTAAAACGTAAAGGACCCTTTTCCACGCCTCCAGGTTGTTGCTGGAGTCACAGGGCTTAACTGCTTCGACACAGATACCTCTTCCTCTGTTTTTAAAATGTAAACCTCGTGTGAAAAAGTCATAAAAAGATATTAACCCAAACGAAAAGTAGAAGCAACCAGCTTCACAATAGCGCAGACACAAACGACAAGTACCTGGCCATTCTACCTACAATTTCGAAAAGAAAGCTAACCTCAATGGCTCAGTTTGCAGTGTAAGCTATGAGGAAACCATAAAGGACCTGCCGCTGACATGCGAGTTCATAGAGGCAACCCACCTGATGGTCTGACCTGAGCATACGAAACCGGATGCAAAGAGGAAGAAGAAACGACACATTTGTGTTGTGGTTAGAAAACCTTCAGTCAGTTAGTCGGTCGACAGATTATCTCTATTGCACAATGGGCACTTCCATAAACGCTCGGGTCCCATCTTCCAAATATTCATCAGCGTGTGGTGACTGAAAACACGTTCTGTGTTGGTTTACTTTTTTTTTTGGGGGGGGGGGGGGGGGGGGGGGGGGGGGGGGGGAGCTACCTGTATAGTGTTCAAGATCATGACAAACAGTCCAAACCAACAACCAGTGACCATAAGTAACCAATCACTTGAAAATGTAGAACATTTCACATATCTTGGCAGTGTGGTGTCCCTACTGGGAGGGACAGAGGAAGACATACAGTCAAATCTGAACAAAGCTAGAGCTGCTTTTGGAAGGATGAGGCAAATCTGGAAATCCAACAATTACTGCAGAGGAACAAAACTCTGACTCTACAAGAGCATCATTTTGCCAGTTCTTCTTTATGGAGCGGAAACGTCTACATAGAATTATCACAATTTTCTGGCCAGATACAATCTCAAACACTAAACTACTTCAAGCCACAAACCAAGAAACTTTAGACAGTATGATTACCAAGAGAAGATGGAAATGGCTTTGCCACGTTATGAGAATGACTTCTGATATACCTGCCAAAACAGCTCTCACATGGACACCAAAGGGAAAGAGAAAACAGGAGCGCCCAAAAACAACATGGAGACGAACGATGGAAAACTGCACTGAAGATTGCACAGGACAGGAAAGCATGGAAAGTCCTCTCTGAAGCCTCATGTGCCACTAGGCATAACGAGAACTGATGATGATGATGTATAGTGTTCGTGTTTGGCGACACCTCTTTCGACCTGAAGTTTTTGTAGTCTTTTGAGAGCATTGATAACGTCAGCACAGTCCATTGCTTTCCCTGTACATACCGTGGCCCTCCCAGCTAGCCAATCCCCTCGTTTTTGCCCTCTTACCCAAGATTGTCATGGCACAAAAATGAAACTAATTCCTATCAGACGAGATTTCCTCAGCGACTCCAACCATTTTCTACTAATCCATCGTGTCGCTTTCTTCTTAAGTATGTTCATGCAATCACTTAGCATGCATGGGGAAAAAATGCAGCATTTCTAGCCACATCGTTGCTGTTGTTACCGCCTTTATCAGTACTTTACATGACTAGACAATGTTATAATTAAAGACAAGAATACACAAAAATCACTTAACTGAAGTATCTCTCAGAGAAATCCACGTGTCTGTCTGGCCAGTTGAAGCGCTGTCATGTGAGTGTAAGTATAAGGGTAACACGCTACATGTTAGACTCTAAAGGAGTCAATTTTGTGCGTCTACATACATTGAGTGGAGTCACCGTTGTTACTTTTTAACAAAATGGTTTTCATGTGTGGGTTCATGGGCCCAGTTTGGTGGGGGGGGGGGGGGGGGGGGGGCTAGTTTTACTTCCCCTTAACAAGCATGACGTAAAATGATGACTAATTAGGGGTTATTTTATTCAAGTTTAGAGTACATCTGCCTGAGAGGCGAGGAACCAACAGTCTGTATAAGTACAGTCCAGTTATGTAAAATGGATGTACATGTAAAGCTAGAGTTTGGAACAAGACCAAAGTCCAGAAAAAAAAAGTCATACATTTTGTTAGGGTATGGTCGAGTTTGTGGCTGGTGATCACGGTATGTGCAGAACTATGCCTGCCAGTGGTTGCTGGCATGGCACGTAATGATGATGCAAATCGTATTTCTCATTCACATTCCCAGCTATCAACTCTAGCGGATATTTCTGAAGTAAAATAAATAAAATTCAACACCAGAGAGAGCTTCTTTACAACAGTTTGCTCAATATTCTCCTTCTCATAATACAAAATCTGTCTCTCATATGCAATGTAAAAGTTATAACAAATATTTTGATAAATCAGTCAATTGTAATCTCAAAAGATATCTATGGCAGTATAGTTTTGTTTTTGTTTTTATTTTTTATTTTTTCAATTTTTTTTCTTAAAAGTTAACATAAGGCAAAGAAATACCTCACACAGTCCCCTTGTGTTCCTCATGCAGTCACTATTATACAGTCTCTTTCTTCTTCTTCTTTTGTCAAAATCTGCTTGTGCCGCTAGGCGTCGCAGTCTATCAGATGATCGGCAATCGAGCCAGGGTGCGCTCAGTCGCTTCATATGCGGTGATGTTATGAAGTCTCAAGTTGTCCGTGACTCCTTCAATCCATCTTCTTCTTGGTCTTCCCCTGCCTCTTGGTGTTTCGATTTTCATGTTGTATGCTCTTGATGCTGGCATCGTTGGTTCCATTCTCATTAGGTGACCAAACCATTTCATTCTTTGCTTCTCAATAAATTTAACGATGGGTATGGTTATACAGTCTCTGATACAGCCATATTTCAACATTACACAGACACAGCTGTACAAGACAACCATAACACAGAAACACTAACTCACTGTAAGGCATACACACATTTTTAAAAAAAAACTGAGCAATTAGATCAACAGGTCAGAAACTATAGGAAATCTGACTATATTAAAGTATAAATATCAACAATTTGCATCTCAGTCCAACTATTTGTTACATAAGAAGCATAATGACATGTAAAAGAAGCAACATTAACTGTTATGGAAGTTGACATGTAAAAGAAGCAACATTAACTGTTATGGAAGTTATTACAACATATTTTAATAGTTCACACTGTATGGACGGTCATCTTATCTGTTAACAACCTTCTAGCTTGTGAACTGTTCGGCGATCATCTTATCTGTTAACAACCATCTAGCTTGTGAACTGTCAGTCATAAGAAGCCCCACCCTGGTTTTTGCCAGGGGCCGCAATATAGGCAGGCCATTAATATGGCCAATTGTCTGAACGCGGTTTCTGGGACCTCTCCATGGCGATCCTCATCCACATGGTGGCATTTGGTGTCATCGGGTATTTATCGCTTGTGTGATGTCCTAGTGGGGTAGAAAGTCTGACTTTCAGTCACTTCTGCTCGGATTT